GCGACTGCCCCCTGGAGGCGCCCAAGTGCGCCCCGGGAGTCGGGCTGGTCCGGGACGGCTGTGGCTGCTGTAAGGTCTGCGCCAAGCAGCTCAACGAGGACTGCAGCAAAATGCAGCCCTGCGACCACACCAAGGGGCTGGAATGCAACTTCGGCGCCAGCTCCACCGCTCTGAAGGGGATCTGCAGAGGTAAGATGCTTGTGGTTTGGCCCCTTTAAAAAAATAATAGTCCCCGTAGTCCAGAAGTTTAGTAATTTTGAGACCATGTATGGTGATGCTTTGTTGTTGGTAGCTTGGCAGAAAGGCACATGATTTCAGCAGTCTGGAATGCAATTCAGTGTGTCTGGGCCCAACGAAAAGCGCATACGGAAAAGTGATTCCTGACTAACTTATTGTTCTGGTCTGCAGTCTCCGGGGAATTGTAGGGAACTTTACCATAAATTGAATTTAACAGCAGAAATATGTATGAGTTTCAGGCCGTGGTTCGGACTCTTAACTTGATCCTCTTCTCCCTTCTTCGCAGCTCAGTCAGAGGGCAGACCCTGCGAATATAACTCCAGAATCTACCAGAATGGGGAAAGTTTCCAGCCCAACTGTAAACATCAGTGCACATGTATCGACGGCGCCGTGGGCTGCATTCCTCTGTGTCCCCAAGAACTTTCTCTCCCCAACTTGGGCTGTCCCAACCCCCGACTGGTCAAAGTTAACGGGCAGTGCTGTGAGGAGTGGATCTGTGACGAGGATGGTGCCAAGGACCCCATGGAGGACGGGGACGACCTCCTGGGCAAGGGGCCCACATTCGATGCCTCCGAGGTGGAGTTAACGAGAAACAACGAGTTAATTGCATTTGGAAAAGGTGGCTTCCTGAAGCGGCTCCCTGGTAAGTTAAAACTGAGCCCCTAAGGCCTGGGACTGAAATACGTTCCTAGTTTGAAGCTTTATAGAAACGAGGACTTGAATCTGTTTGCTGTCAGTAAGCCTCTGAGAAGTCTTCCCTCTTGTTTGTCTCGCTAGCTTTTGGACAGGGCCCTCGCATCCTATACAACCCTTCTCTACACGGCCAGAAATGTATCGTCCAAACAACTTCATGGTCTCAATGCTCTAAGACCTGTGGAACTGGTATCTCCACACGAGTTACCAATGACAACCCTGAATGCCGCCTGGTGAAAGAAACCCGGATCTGTGAGGTGCGGCCTTGTGGACAGCCGATGTACAGCAGCCTGAAAGTAAGTTTCTGCGTGGCAGGTACCTGTTCCCGGGCAGCTGGGTGAGATGGGAGCCTCTCTTCCAAGAAAGAACCTTTGCCCCTAACTTTCCTTCTCTCGGCTTTCTTACAGAAGGGCAAGAAATGCAGCAAGACCAAGAAATCCCCGGAACCGGTCAAGTTTACTTATGCCGGATGTTCAAGTGTGAAGAAATACCGGCCCAAGTACTGCGGTTCCTGCGTGGATGGCCGGTGCTGCACGCCCCAGCAGACCAGGACGGTGAAGATGCGCTTCCGTTGTGAAGACGGGGAGATGTTCTCCAAGAACGTCATGATGATCCAGTCCTGCAAGTGCAACTACAACTGCCCGCATGCCAGTGAGGCCGCGTTTCCCTTCTACAGGCTGTTCAATGACATTCACAAATTTAGGGACTAAATGCCACCTGGGTTTCCAGCACAAGGGTGGACAGAAGGGGGAGAAGAGTGCCGGAATCATGGAGGCACGGGTGGGGGCGGTGGGGGTGAAGGGACTCGTTGTAGAAGGGATGCATTTGCTCATTCTTGAGTAGTATTAAGGTATTTTGAAACTGCCAGGTGTGCTGGTGCAGATGGACTCTAATGCAGCTGCAATTGGAGAATACTTTGCTTCATAATATTGGAGCACATGTTACTGCTTCATTTTGGAGCTTGAGGTGTTGATGACGTTCTGTTTTCTGTTTGTAAATTATTTGGTAAGCGTATTTTTCTCTAGGCTTCTTTCCTTTCGGTTCTGCAATTGTAAGATAGTAAGATTAGTTGGACAGTTAAAGCCTTCATCCTTTGACAGAAATACACGGGAGGGGGTTCCATTCCTTCCTGAAGGTGACACTCTGTGAGTGTCCGTGAGAGGCAGCTATCTGCACTCTAAACTGCAAACAGAAATCAGGTGTTTTTAAAACTGAATGTTTTTATTTATCAAAATGTAGCTTTCGGGGAGGGCGGGGAAATGTAATACTGGAATAATTTGTAAATGATTTTAATTTTATATTCAGTGAAAAGAATTTATTTATGGAATTAATCATTTAATAAAGAAATATTTACCTAATATCTGAGTGTATGGCATTCCATATTTTTAGAGATTGTCCAAAGTCATTGGAAGCAATCTAGCTTATCCACTCAATCATTCAAACCGGATTTATTGAGTGTCTGCTTTGTGCCAGGATCTGTTCTAGTGCTTGGGATAGAACAGGGAAATGACCTACAAAAATAAAACAATGATTGCTTTTATATCTTCAGTAGAAAAAGATCCTTGCATTTAAAATAATCTGCATTAAAAAAAATGTATTGAACACCAGGCATTGTAAGAAGCACAAGAAGGAATCCAAAGCCAACTTTGTGATTTAAATAATAATGCATTGTTTTTATAAGAAATCAAAGCCCAGGGGTCTCCCTCACCCAGTCACTGTGAGGTGGGTACAGTAATTTATCATTTTAATCACCAGGTTATTGTGCATGTCACTTCAGGAGAGAGAAACTTTAATGAAAGCAGTCCATAGCTTGTATATATCTACACTCGGGTAAGATTAAGTCTGGTTAGATAATGTGTTATAAAAGATGGCTTGTTTATAACTTCATATTTCACCAATATTGTTTCAAAAACTACTTAAAAATTCGCCCTCGGTTGGGATCAGAGGGAAAAAAACACACCTTTGAGTCTATAGGAGTCCGTTTGTTTTCATTGAATAAGCTCGAAGCAATGACTTGTGCTAATCCTAATAAGCTGGTGATTAGGTAAACATGCTGCTAAATGCAAAGGAATGCGAGGAATTTCAAGTACTTTTCCACTAGCATGAGGACCAAGCTGCCCCATCCCCCTTTCCTTCTTATAATATACATTATATCGATGGAGGCAGAAGCAGTTGATAGAGTTGGCTATCCAGAAGGTCAAAGGCTAGCTGCAGAGGTTTCCTGAAAGAAAAGGACCTGAATCATAGGTCTAGGAGAGGTTGAGAAGGCTGCGTCAATGTTTGTGAAAATGTTGGTAGCCTGTTTTAGAAGAACCTACATCTTTAGAAAGCGCTGACAATAAACCTTTTATAGAGAGAAGTTTTCCTTTCATCGACCCTCTTGGCTCCTGTTCAAATGCACAGTAAAATATTTCAGTCTGCACTTGGTTAAGAGAGTACTTGAATTTTTAGGCAATAAGAGAAAGTGCTTTCAAAGGGGAGGAGGGGGACAGTTCCCAGGGTCTTATAATGGTGATTTTTCAAAATAGTTTAATTTTGATGCTTTAATGAAGACCTACAGAAAAGCAATGCCTTAGCACTGGTTTTAAAGCCTTACTGAAATGTGTAAAGGTGAACATAAATGTGTTGGTAAAATTTATGGGCAAAGGCCTTCACTCTTCTGATTTTGACAATGTCTCGCTTGAAATATTATAATCTGTGCCTATGCGTTGTAGTCAGTGTTTCTTGCCTGAGGCATTCAAATGTAAGGTATTTGAGAATTTAAACACCACCTGGTTCAGTCTTGGATGCAGTTAAACTTGTCAGTGCAATATAATATGTGAAACATAATAAAGGTGTGAGGTTTTTGAGGTGCAGTCGTGTTGAACAGACATCTAAATTCATTGGTAAGATTTACAGATTCCCAGGCGCCAATCCTGAGTTATTTTCCTCCAACACTAGTGCCTAGCAAAGTACTTCATACACAGAGATCAAGGAATGATAAATTATAGATCTTTTAAGTGTGTAGGGAGGTGATATCTGTCCAAATAAGCTCAAATATGAAACAAAATCTGGCATGGGAAAACTGGATTGTTGGGTCATTAATCTTATTGTAGTAAATACAATAAGAGTACTGCATAACCACTGTTTCTATTTAAATAAGATTGCTCAATTAATAAAAAAATGAATGGATGCAAATTATGTCTATTTTATTTGGCTATAGAAAAAAGTAAAGAAAGTCATAGAAGTTGAGAATGAAATTATGTGATTTGGAACATACAACTTTTATCTAGGTCCAGCATGGAGCTCTGCCTCCTCCAGATATTGAGAAAACAAAATAAAAACCCATGCATCTGCATATGAAATGGCAGTTACACATATAAATATTCATCGTAATATATACGTCCCCCTCCGCACACAGTGAAGGTGGTGTGCTGTTCCCACTTTCCAATCCAAAAGACCCTGGTGGGTTTCTGTTTGTGTGTTTTTTTGTTTGTTTTGTTTTTTTTTGGATAGAGATGTAAGAACTCACCTCCATAAGAGTTAAAAAATGACCTCAGAGTCTTAGGAATTTAGTGAATTTTAAGAAATATTCAATTGGACATTTAGAAGTATGGTAAGTAGTCAAACCATGAAGATTTTCACATAAATGCGTGTGCTGTCTACTCCGCAAAGAGGTGTGACTGGGTCAAAATTAGCAAAGCATATTTCAGTTATTTTTCTGAGAGAGACCAGACTTGGTTTGTTCACAACCTCCTCTCCTGCCATCTGGCAGTATTTGAAAGTCACTGAGCAATAGCAAGGGTCCAGCAGGACCACGGTACAGAACAAAGCCGTGTTCTGCTCAGAGGGGCAGGTGATGCAGTGGACAGAATCCCGGATTGGAATCCAGAGATGTCTTTTCACACCAGCTCTGCCATTAATTTACTGGGTGACTCTGGGCAAGTTTCTGGATCGTTCTCTCCTGTTTTAAAATGGAACAATAGCTCCCAGCATTTTTGCCACTCAAAGCATTGTTTTTCATATATTCTCTTTGATGCACTGATTCCCGCACATTGAAAACTTCATCTCCGTAAGCAGTTGAATGTATGAAGTGAAACTGCTCAGGCCTTTCTGTGGGCAAAGGAACTCATCTCTATGAAGCCTTTGAAAATGTAACGTCGATAGCCCTCTTTACTCTCTAAAACACCTCTGGTTATAGGACGTGGCAATCCCTGGATCTCACAGTCAGTAGGTCTATACGTTCATCTCCCTGTATAGCCCTGATAGCTGGGCCTCACTAAGTCCCTGCCCTAAATAACTCATTCTTCAAACAAAGCACATTGTAAAGCATGACAATGATGTATGTGTCCTATGAATAGAACAGCTTTATTTGTGACTTATTTTATTGGTGGTGGGCAACACTCACCCATGTAATTTTATAAAATTACACAAATACTCAGATGCATTTGTTAGTGCTTTATAGTTTCCACATATTCTGCTTATATATTCTGAATCAGCACCTTTCTTTGACCAAATCTAAGCCACCATCATCCCTTGCCTGCATTACTGAAATGGCCTCCTCACCTGTGGCATATTGTATTTTCCAAAGGTGGTGGCAATAATGTCTTCCATCCCACATGCCTTTCTGCAATGTGACCCTGTTGCATCAATAGGTGGGGTTTAGTTCTCCACCCTCTTGGATGTGGATGGGCTCTCTGACTGCTTGAATCAATGAGTATCAGAGAAGTACTGCTGTGTGGTGCCAGTTCCCAGTGTAGCATGGGCTAGGACCTCCTACTCCCTCTCTCTCTCTCTCTCTGAAAAGAGCTTCCATGTAAGAAGTACAACTCCCCTGCTACCAGCCCTCTCTAAGAAACCCACACCACTCAGACAGGCCCTTGAGGATGAGGTGCCATGTGAAGAAAGAGAAAGACCAGGACCTCGCTGGTGTGGCTCAGTGGTTGAGTGTCGACCTATGAACCAGGAGGTCACGGTTCAATTCCCAGTCAGGGCACATGCCTGGGTTGCAGGCTTGATCCCAGTAGGGGGCGTGCAGGAGGCGGCTGATCCATGATTTTCTCTCATCATTGATGTTTCTATCTCTCTCTCCCTCTCCCTTCCTCTCTGAAATCAATAAAAATATATTTTAAAAAGAAAGAAAAAAGAGAAAGGCCAGGGAGCACCTGGGCATCACATATGTGTGAAGAGACCATCTTGGCAGTGGATCCTCCAGTCACAGCTGCCTCGCAAGCTGATGTCTGTGAACGGGAGATGAACTGCCAGTCGAGTCCTTCCCAGAATTCATGAGGCATAAGATAGCAGACTAATGGTTATTTTAAGACCCTAAGTTTTGTTTGTTGATTGCTACACAGCCATAGATAACTGAAACATCACTAGGTTCCGTTCTTGCCCTGAAATGCTCCATTGTCCTTACAGGAGCCAGAGTGATCCTTTAAAAATGTAAATCAGAACATGCCCATCTTAGCTTAAAGGCTCCGTGGCTTCCATTGCTTTTGGAATAACATTCAACTCCTTGCTTGGCACACAGGTCCTGAACTCTCCCTCCTTCTTACCTACTCACCCTCACTCTCTATAATCTCACTTGCCTCTTCCTCTTTGAAATAAGCCAAGTGAATCACTCCTCAGGGCCTTTGCACTAGCTGTTGCTCTGCCCCCAGTGCCCTCCTCTTTGATCTAAACTTCTTATCAGGCAGGTCTCAGCATGAATGCTACCCTCTCAGCGACCCTCCTTCACCACCCAGGCTAGGGTAGCTCATTACATTAAGCAGTTTTATTTACATCGTGGCATTTAGCACTACCTGGTAGTTTCTTATTCATTTGTTATGCCTGTCCATTTACAATCACCTCTATAACAGCAGAAACTTTTGTCTGCTTTTTCACCACTATAAAAGCATCACTCGACACTGTGCCTGGCATGAAGTAAATGTTCATTAATACAGAATTTATGTAGCCTTAAGCTGAAACTAAAGTAGAAGACACCCGCCTCACTGGCACAATATCTTCTTTCTATTCCCCCTGGGGCTTTCCTCTAGTTTTTAGCTTTTCATTCATTCTCTCATTCATACATCTACTCACTAAACACTTGTGGGCACCATCATATTTCAGGCACGGTGCTATGCAGTAGTTGATAAAGCATAGTTCCTTTACTTTGTGGTGGTGGGGGAGACGTACATGTAAGCAAAGTTAGCTAAGGTTAGGTTCAGCTGGAAGTAATGGATAACTCAAATAGCAATGCTTAAGTTACACAGAATTTTGTTTCTCTCTCATGTGAAAATTCAGGTAGGCAGTGCTGGGCTGTTGTGATGCCCCAAGGATTCATGGACCAAACCTGTTATCTTAGTGTTCATCATGCATGGTCCCCTTTCCCTGGTTCACCTCATGGCACATGGTCTCACCTTGCTGCAAAGGAGGCTAAGAAATGTAGTTTTTGTTGTTGTTTTTTTAAAAATATATTTTATTGATTTTTTACAGAGAGGAAGGGAGAGAGATAGAAACATCGATGAGAGAGAAACATCGACCAGCCGCCTCCTGCACATCTCCCACTGGGGATGTGCCCGTAACCCAGGCACATGCCCTTGACTGGAATCGAACCCGGGACCCCTCAGTCCGCAGGCCGACGCTCTATCCACTGAGCCAAACCGGTTTCGGCAGAAATGTAGTTTTTATCCTGGCATTTAGCACTACCTGGTTGTCATGTACTGAGCACAAAAACAGAAATCCTGCCCTAGCCTGTTTCCTCAGTGGTTAGAGCATTGTCGGCCCATGTACTGAAGGGTCTCAGGTTCGATTCCAGTCAAGGGCACATACCTCAGCTGCAGGCTCAATGCCCTGCCCTGGTCATGGCATGTGCAGGAGGGAACCAATTGATATCTCTCTCTCACATTGATGTTTCTCTCTCTCTCTGTTTCTCACACTTCCTTCTACTCTCTTTACAAAAAAAAAAAAATTCTTGGGAAAGGATTAACAACAACAACAAAAACACACAAAAACTCCAGAGCTCCTGTTACTATATAAGGGAGAAATAGTGGTTGGTACCACATAGCCCAAATATGCTGTAATAAGTATAATAAGGCACAGAAGAGGCTTATCTAACTGCCTGAGGCTGGGATCAAAAAGGTCTTCCTGTGGGAGTTATCTCAGTTCTGTTTGGAAAGATAAACAGGTTGGAAACGATTCAAAAGCCATGGTGCTGAAGTTGAAATTTTCTACAATCAATGATACCTTCCTCATCTCAGCCATAAAGAGAAATCAAAGATTCCTGCACCACCTGGGTTTAGAGACTTAGAGGCCATTCGTATTTTAAAGAGTTGGAATTTTTGCTTTGGGTTCAGAAGTATCATGAAAAGGGCACCTGTATTAGGGTTCTCTAGGGAAATAGAACCAGCAGGAGATTATAGAGAAGAGAAAGAGAGATTTATTTTGAGGAATTAGCTCATGTGATTGTGAGGATGGGCAAGTCCAAAACCCTTAGGGCAAGCCAACAGGCTGGAAATTCAGGGAAGAGTTAAATGTGCAGGTTAGGCTTTGTGGCTGGAAACTTAGGCAGGATTCCATGGTGCAGTCTTGAGGCCAGATTCCTTCTACTTTAGGAAATCTCATTTTTCCCCCTTAAGGTCTTCAACTGATTGGATGAGGCCCACCCATAATATGGATGGTAACCTGCTTTACTCAAAGTCTACTGACTTAAATGTCAATCACATCTTTAAAATATCATCACAGCAAATCTAGACTATTTTTTTGACCAAGTGGTGCCATAGCTTAGCCAAGTTGACACATAAAATTAACCATCAGAGTATCTGTGTGGTAGACCTTCTGTGGGCAAGAAACCTATGTCCACTCTAAAATAGAATGAATATGAGCAGAGTCAGAGAAA